CACACAAAACCACACACACACACACACACACACACACACACACCCCTCCTCGTGACAGATTAGCTCTGCCCTGGAGTGTTCTTTGCTGTCATCTTAAAAGCTACACACACACACACACACACACACACACACACACACCACTTCCCGGGCACCCCCAGTGCACACAGGCGCGCTCTCATTCTGAAGGAGCATACAAAAGGGGGCTCTTTGTGCTGGAGGAAATCAGAGACTGACAGAGAGAAACAAAAACACAAAGCAGCCGAGGAGGCAGTAGTCTCTCAGGGTCGTGACAGCGGCCCGGGAAATGTTTTTTCATTTCCTCTTGTTCCACAGCGCATGTGCTCCGCAGCTGTGATTTATTTTCAGAGTGCACGTTGGAATTTGACAGACGCGCATGCTGGCCCGCTTCACAGCTGAAACCGCTTGCCATTTGGTAGATGATCTAGCAAGTGACAATTTACACTAACGTGGCCATTATAAACCAAGCCGTCTGTGAACGAGACAGACAGGTGTCAACTGGGTGGCTGCCGACAGCACCGCACCAGCAGATGCTCGCTCAGGCTTCCTCCACGTACACATGTACACACGGCCGGAGACTGACAGACTGGGAGGGAGCGCTCTGTGAAGTGCAATTCTGGTGTGCACAGCCTGCTTGAAGACGTGGGGATACATGTGGAGCATGCTCGCAGCTTCTGGGATTTGTAGGGAGCCCTCGTGGCATCGTGGTTAAGAAAGTCAGCTGCTCATCAAAGGTTGGGGGTTCAAAACCAGCAGCCGCTGCTGGGGAGAAAATGAGGCTGTTCTGCTCCCATACGGATGTATAGCCTTGGAAAACCAACAAGGCAGTTCTGTTTTGTCTTCGTTGGTCCCTGTGAGCCGGAGTCCACTTGACCAGGACGACGGTGGATTTGGGGGCTCAAGTTTTAAGCCAAGGTGGGCACCATCAGTTGTGTGTATGTGTATGTGTGAGAGAGCAAGAGAGAGCGAGAGAGGATGCCGAAAGCTGGGCAATAGAAAGGAAGCTCTTGCTGGTCTCCGGGGAGAGGTGGGGGTGGGGTGGGGGGCCCGATGGCTGAGGCAGAGCAGGAGAAGGAGAAGGAATAGGTGATGGAAACCAGACTACTGAGGTAGTTTTCCTTGTTGGTGGCTGTGTTCGTGCTGCTGTCTGGGGGAAATCCTTACAGGACAGACAGCCTCCCCTTTCTCCCAAGGGAGAAAGCTCGAAACCGCTCCCCTTGCTTTCAGCAGCCCACTGCCTGTGTACGCTGCACCAGCCCTGTTCATGAGGTGTGTGATAACAAGCCATCCCTATCGTTGCATTGGCTCTAGTTGTCCTTGAGTCTATACCGATGCATGGCGCCCCTGTGCATGCCGAGCCATAGCATGCCAAGGTTGTCACTTGATGGGCTCGTGGAGGGTCACTCTGAAGAGTGGGGGTGCTGCTTTGGAGATGGACCAAGAGGCGGTGGCTCTGCAGCTGAGAAGAGGGAGGGGCTGGTGCTCACCTTCATGCTGGACTGATGTTGGCGTGACGAACCTAAGGAGACCAAACACCCCCACTTGGGTGGTTGTGAAGAACGGAAATGAATTTCCTTATAGTTCTGAGGACTGAAAGTCCAAATCTGTATCTCAGCCATGTTGATTCCTTCCTTGTGGCCATCTCTGGTGTTCCCTGCTTGCCTGGTGAGATAGCTAAAGTTTATTGTGCCAACCTGGCTGATAAACACTTGGGTTAATTGAAGGACAGAGAGATAAATGGCTCAGTGAGCCTCGCCTTTCTAGTTCTCAGGTCTCTTGCTTTGTGATGGTCAGACCAGGGTGCAGCTGCCGTAGTCAGTTCCCTGCTTCAGCTGACAAAGCTCACTTCCTACAAGACATCCCTAAGGAGAAGCTGCATGGCCCTACCCTGATGCAGCCCTGGGTGCTGGAGCAGCCGTGTGAAGACCCCTGCCAGTGCTGAGATACTCACACATTCACTGATTCGGCTTTCCTCCTGCAGTCAGCATCATTGCTTGTGTTTTGTGAGATGGAGGAGGACTTTGTGGATTTGTGTTGGACATATGGGCTAATGTTGGACTTGTGGGCTTGGGCAGTACTGGGTTGGGATGTTTTCTTGATGCACACTTACCATTTTATATAAAACTCCCTTATACATAGGAGTTTCTGTGGATTTGTTTCTCTAATGTACTAAGAGTAAAACACCTGGTTTATAGACCATCTTCACATGGCACCTGCCTTCCCCCACATGCATGCACGCAGTTCTGTGTCTAATCTATTCTTATGTGTAGGAGGTGGGGGTGAAAAGACAGCAAAACGTGTGAAAATTCAGCCAGCAACTTCAGCATCACTTCTCATATCTGCACGTTGTATATCATCTGTTCTTTTTATAGGCCAAAGGGTCAGATTTAGGTGCCCACCCAACTTGGGGATGATCTGATTAACAACAGGCTCCTTGGACAGTCAGGGAAGGGCTTCCTTGCTCCCGCTTTATTTCACCTCCCACCCTTCTCCCTGAGTTAGTCTGGGTTGACTAGAGAAACAAATTCATAGACACTCTTATGTGTGTAAGAGAGAACTTTATATTAAAGAGCAGTTGTACATTATGAAAACATCCCAGCCCAGTCCAGATCAAGTCAATAAGTCCGATATTACCCCATATATTGATACCAGTCTATAAGTTCCTCTTCAGACTCACGCAACCCATACAATGGCACCAAATGCAGGAAGATCACAGGCCAGTGGGTAGAAAGTCTTGTGGATCCAGGAGTGGTAGAAGTATCTCAGTGCTGGCGTGGGTCTCCAAATGGAGGACTCTGGGTCTATCAGTGTTGCTCCATGTGACTTACCAATAGAAATGTCTCACAGGGAGTAGATGTATCTGGCCTCCAGTGAGCTATTTATCTTTTTAACACCTCAAATGAGGTCACCAAGCTGCAACCTGATTGACCTGCTGGACTCCACTCCTTCACAAGTTGACAGGAGATTATGTACCTGCCACATTCTCCATCCCTCAATTGCCCTCTAGTCCTCTATTTCCAACCATACAAGGGATTCCACATGGGGGAATTCCAGTGTTGGGGCGGTGGTTTCCAGTGGGGCTGCTAACCATGAGGTCAGCCACACAGAACCAACAGACGCTCTGAGGGAGGAAGACAGGGATTCCTACGCCCATAAAGAGAGTCTTGGAAACTCACGGGGGTAGTTCTAGCCTGTCTGGCAGGGTCACGATGAGTTGGCATCCACTCGAGGGCAGTGAGGTTGGGTTTGAGGTTTTTATAAGGGTTTTCCCACAAGTATTAGGACTCCAACCCATGTTTGAGAGGGATGAAACTGAATCCGTAAGTGTGTCGGCGAGGATTGTGAATCATTGGCAAGCAGAGGTGGTCCTCAAACCTTGGAATGCATAAACCTGTATCAAGAGACATAGAATAAGAAGCTGGCTGAGGCTGGAGCCTCCGAGGGACCCCAGCAGTTAAGGGGCGGACAGAATAGAGAAGTCTCCAGAAGGACTCAGTGTGTGACGTTCAGCATGTGACAAGCAGCAAAGCAGAGAGAGAGGAAGAGGGAGAGAGAGAGAGAGGCAAACATGCTTTGGATTTTCAACAAGGACATTGGTGACCTTGGCAAAAATCATTTGCAATGGGAGGCAGGGAGCGAAAACCATGTGATCTGACAAAGCAGAGCCAGCAAGGGTAGACTGTTCTGTGAAGAAAACAAAGCATTTTGAATTAAATGGATTTCATTGATTTCTGTGGTTTTTTCGGCCAAAGAATGTTGGGAATTCCAAGAAACTAACAACAGCCACAACCCCATTTGCCCTCATTTGGGGAATGCTCTCCCCATGTCACCCCCAATCAAAGGCAAGGGTTCATGCAAGCATCCTTCTCTCTTTCAGGCCGGATCTTGGACCTGAAGACTGGGACAGTCAAGAAAGAAGGGCAGCAATCGTCCATGAGGATGTGCATGGGCTCCCGCCGGTCCTTCATCTGCAGGATGAGGTCAGTGTGGGTGAACCAGGGCCCGAGTTGCTTTGCTCCCTTTTGCGATCTGCGGTTAAGAGCCTCCGCCGTTTCTGCCAAGATCTAGAAGCCGACTTGGTTCCAGCCCAGGGGCTCCCATCTTTTGGACCTCAACATGTGAACAACAGGCTCCTTGGTCTTCATGGAAGGGTCTCCTTGCTCCTGTTTGTCCAATCTGCCACCATTCCTCCCCACCCTTAGACTGGTGTCCTCTGTCAACTTTCCTCATCCTTCCAGCTCTTTCTCAAATCCAACCCTTCCTGGCTCAATATTTTTCAGTATGTCTTATATAAGACCTCTTGATTTCATTCTTACTTTTCTATTTCTTTGCAACAACCCATTTATTTATAACTAGTCTTTCACTATGATATCCTGTGTTGACATTTTTAGTGTAAAGGCCCCGAGGGAAGAATGTGATCAGCCTGTTCAAGGAGCAACAGGGCGATTACTCTCTCAGGAGAGTACTGGGGGTTGAGGAAGACTGGAAAGGGGTGATGTTACGGAGCATGGTGTATTAGATCTGTCTGCCTTCGAAGACTTTGGCTTGTGCTCAGAATGAGATGGGAAGTCATTGGCAGTTGGTTATATGAGTGACATGTTCTAAAGTACACTTCAAAACATTATTCTCACTTTGGGTGGAGAATAGATGGGTGGGTGGGATAATGGGGTGTGTGGACAGACAGTGGGAGAACAGAGTCAAAGCGAGGCAATGGTAATGTCCTGTGATATCAAAGGAGATTACAGGTGTCTTGAGAGTAATGATGGTGAGATGAGCTCAGGTCTTGAATATATGGCAAAGACAGGGCCAGCCTGCACGCAGGATAGGAATCAGGGCAGAATTCGGATTGAAGTCTGCGATGTTTGCCTGCCCAACCAGAAAAGCCCAGTTACCGTTTTGTAAGATAGTGCAAGCATGTTGGAGGGGCTGGTGTTGGGTAGATGGGAATTTCAAGCATTTGAAGGTGGAGATGCCTATCAGGCATCTAAATGGAGAAATTCAGCAGGCAGTGGGACATGCCATTCTGGAATTCAAGGGAGCAGTTGTAGCTGCAGATAAAGACTGGGGACTGACATCACGGAGCTGGTATGTAAAGCCGGAGACCGCATGAGAAGTCTATGTAGATAGAGAAGAGAGGAGGTCAGAGGACTGAGTCCTTGGGGTGCTCCTACATGAAGCAGGGAGCTAGAGAAGAGCCTGGAGGGTGCGAAGGAGCAGCGGAGCGGGGGAGACACAGAGTGTGAACCACGGGGTTTCTAGAGCGTCATCAGTAGTCAGGTGCTACCGGTGGGTCCCGAAGATGTGGGCTGAGGTTAGTCCCTCCCTTCACAGGGAAAGCTGAGAGGAATGGGCGTTGCAGGCAGGTGAACAAGGCTGTTGCTCCTTCAGACAAGGAGCTCGTTTCTGCCATCCCTCACCTGTGTTCTCTCAAACTCTCTGTGAGCATCTCCACTCACACCCAAGCCTGCAACCTTTCTGGGGTCTGGTAGCTTTCAGTCGAACGCGGCTCTAGGACTGGGGAGTGTGGGCAGAGAGAGAGCAGGTCCCCAGTGACTCCAGTCTTTCCCAAACAATGTCAGTCCGCTGATTCCACACATCAGTAGCTGAACCTAGCAGGCCTATCAGACCTCCTTCTCTTCTTGGCCACGGTGCCTCCATTGTGGACACTTGGGGCCTCAGCCACTGTCCCAGGTGAGCTGCTCACAACTGCCCCTTTTCACCCACCTGTTGACCGCTACAAGCTGTGGTTTGCTACTTGTGTACCTATTGGCCCTGAGGAAGCTCCAGACAGCGGATGGTTTAAAATGAGCATTTATTATCACTAATTCAACATGTTTTTGAAAAAATAAATATCAAATAAAAATGTACTAAAATAGTAACGATAAAGAACAGGAACCCCTTTCTCTACAGACTCGTGAGTTGGTCTCAGCTCAAGATGATCTCTGCTGGGATGGGCCCTTCCTCCTCTCTCCTCTCGAGCTGAGCCCTTCGAACCAGCAGGGTTCTTTTGCTCCATTTTACTTGTTTCTGTGGTCTCTTCCCCTGCCAACGACATCATATTTTGCCAAACTCCCTCTTACTGTGTGTGGCTCTCCCGAGTTGAGCTGCGATCCCCAAAGTCCAAAGCTCAAAACTACCAGACTCCAGAGAAAGGCAGGGCTTTCTCCTCTCGTAGAGAGTTACAGTCTCGGAAACCCACAGCGGCAGGTCTACCCTCTCGATCCTATGGGGTCGACAGGGTTGCTATGAGTCAGCATCAACTCAGGGACTGAGTCTGGTGGTTTTTGGAGTCTCTCGGTGATTTCCCCTCCCTCCCGTTTCTTCCCACCTCCGACAACCATCAAAGAATGTTTCCTTGGGTGTGAACCTCTTTTCTCACAATAGCGATCTCCTGCCACAGTGGTCTTTTCGTCGTGGGCTGATTTCATTCGGCATGAGGGCCTCCAGGTCCATCCTGTGGTGAGGGAGGTGCGCCACAGGCTTCTCGTTCTCCTGTGTACATACCAGAGTTTACCTGTCTATTCTGCTAGTGCGGGGCGCCTTTTAAAAAGAAATGTTCCTGCAGGGATTTGAGGGTCAGGATCCTTTCTTCCGAGTCTGCTCTGCTTCAAGTTGCAATCTGGAATCCATCCAGAAAACAATCTCCCTCCGAGATTGTGGGCATCCAGCTCACAATTTCTGGGGTCATCACCCTCATCACTGGCCCCGGTCACAAGAATAATGCTGACGTGACAATGTAGGTGAGTCCCCGTTTGCTTTAGGCTTGTGTTCGAAGACTGCCTGCCCCTCTGTTTAGCTGGCAGGAGGAGCTGGACTCACCCTAGATTCATGTTGCTAATGTCCCTCAATTAAGGCTGTCAGTCACGGTGGGTTCGTCCCGTGATGCTTTGGCAGAGGGGGTAAATGTGCATTCTGGCTTGCTGGACACCTGGTTATTGCTGTTCACCGCCACCAAGGTGACTCTGACTCCTGGCGGCCGCCTGCACAGCAGAATGAAACGCTGCCCGGTCCTCCCACATGTCCAAGTCCGTCAGCGTGGCCACTCCATCTCATCAGGGGCCCCCATGTCCTCGTGTGCCCTCTACTCATCAGACACAGCGTCCTCCCCCAGCGATTGCTTTTTCCTGACGATGTGTCTGAAGCGAGCAGGTCAGACAATATTCCATTGTGACCTGGAAGGTTTTCATTGGGTTACAGAGTGGAAGTAGATGATCAGGCCCTTCATCCCAGACTTAGTCTGGAGGCACCACTGATACTGCCCACCCAGGGTGACTCTGCTGGTATTTGGAACACCAGTGGCATTTAGGGTAGCGCACGCAGTGTAAATGTTTACACCAGCTATGCTAGTCTCACAGGAGCGCACTTACTACAAGTATCACAGTACGCCATTGCTAGCAGTAGACTATCTGAAATGCCATCTGCATTTCCCTGACCACCAAATTCACCTCGTCTCCTCTCCGCCCTGACCCCCTTCTGGGGAAGTGCTCTGAGTTGGTTTCCTCCCTGTCAGCCCAACACTGCCTGGCGTCACGTCGGAGGTGGGCAGCCCTGCCATCTGCCGAGGGCATGACCGTCTCTTCCAAATCAAGTGGTGCGTGCCAGCTTAGTTTCTGCAAGACACTGGGCACAGTCTGCCAGGGAAGGGCAGCAAGGGAATGGATGGCTCCTGTTGCCTGGTCGCATCAGATTTGGCCGCTGCCCAAGACCTCAGTAAACTAGTGCTCTTTTCTTTATGGCCTTAATGATTAAGACCTCAGGAGATGGCACGTAGTTGGGGAAACGGCAACACACTTAAAGAGTGAGCATTCCAGGTGCCAGTCCAAGCCTGACCACCATGCGGAGAGGGGAGGCCACGGCAGGCAGTGTGGCACCCTGTTTTCCAGAGAAGGACCCATAGAAAGACCCCCAGCCCCTACTTTTCCTCTGCCAGCCACAGGATCTCGGCTATCTGGTCATTCCCAGTGCTGGAACATGGGAGGGGAGGAGATGGGGTTTCTACAGCTGTAAATCTGAAGCCTGAGAAGATGCTGCTGTTCATTACGTGGGCAACATCTGTTTTGACTTGAGGTCTCTGCTCATGCCTAAAGAGACACTGTTATTGTCATCACTCCCCCCACCCCACCCCCAACAAGCCCTTGTTCCTGAAAGCCACCCAGTCACACTGAATGGCTGATAGGCCCAAGCATGTCGCCTGCACTTTGTGGGTTGGGCCTGCAACAATTGGGAAGTGGGTCCCACTCTCTGGCCTTCAGTGACACGTTGGGAAAACATTGTCAGTGAGCCCTGCCCAAGTCAATCTGTCCATACCAGCCCAGGCCCACCTACCGGTGTCAACACTGTCCATTTGATGCACATGCCTGGGTCTTGGCTCATCTCATCCATTTATCGACTCGTAGGTGTGGAAATGCTCCTTTGGATCACCTGCCCCTGAACAGAATCACCACCATGAGGAAAAGATTCAGGTCAGTAGCCCTTTCTGGTTTGGGGGCTGGGCTGTGGTAGGGAGCTTAGGTCCCTTAAGCTAACGAGTCACCTGCGTGAAGAGGGAGTGAAGTGGGAGATGCCTGTATCGGGCTTCCCGTGGCTGGAAGGACAGGAGGACATTTCGACTGCACAAAGCCAAACCAATTGCCATCGAGTCAATTCCAACTCACGGCCACCCCATAGAGGGGAGCGTAGGAAAGGCCTGCTCCACAGGGCTTCGCAGCGACGTCAGGGTGATGGGAAGTCGAGACTCGAAATCACAAGAGCAACAAGTGAATGCATTCGCTTAGAGGTCAAAGAAGTCCTTATCTGCCTGTCCTCCTCCCCGTCCGATGAAAACACTCTCAGAAATGCTCTCTCTTTAGGAATGGCCTTGGCCCCGTGAAAGAAGGCGAAGCCCAGTATGCGGTGGTCCACTGCACGGGATACATCAAGGCCTGGCCTCCAGCAGGTAACCAGAAGCCGCATGTGTGCCCACTGGGAAGTGGTCTCGTATCACCGTACCATGTGCAGGGACCCGTGGTCTCCTGTTAGAAATGCATCCTTGTAGAAGGAAGCTGAGCCTCACTCTTTCAGGGCAGTTAGAACATGCCTGCTGTTTGAAACAAAGATTTCTAAGTAGAGCTAATTATATAGCAGTAATTGGAGCCCTAGCAAGTAATTTCCATGTTCTGTCACTCAGAGCACTGTATAAAGAAAAAGTGCCAATTTGCAAGGATACTTGTGGCTAAGGCTGCGTACACTGGGATCTGTTACAAACTAAATCCAGTGGAGTGAAACATTTTAAATGGGCAGAAAAATGCATTTAACTAACTTATACCTGCTTGTCTTAAACTTAGCACTAAGCATGTTTCGTAGAATAGTACGCACACTATTTTATACATGAAAGTGCAGTATGCTTGTTAGAGTCGAATAGGAAGTGGTACATCCTGGATGTCTAGCCACCATGTATGAAACCTGGGGGCAAAAATATAAGACGGCAGCTAAAAAGAAACACTTTATATATTGGAATACTGCCCGTCCTCTACACTCCTACTCCAGAAAACTGAAGTGCTGAGTAAAATGTAACAGGAAGCAGGTATCCCTCTGTAGCTTAAACGGCAAGACAACCCAGGGGACTTTTCAGGTGCCAGCCACGAGAAGACGCATTGCTGCAAAGGTAAGTGCACCCGCACACGGATGTCCGGTCGGCCCAGGAGGTGGTCAGATCCAGGTACAAATCCTAATGACTTGGGGATTTTGTTCTCACCTCCGTACAGGTACAGGAAAGGGAACGTTGGGGCCGAAGCATGGTAATGGGGTGGAGGGTGGGGAACTGTGCTCTGTATGAAGCCAAGGCTGTGTGAGGAAGTCTGTGTGAGGGGAAGCTGTGTGGGTCCAGGGCAAAGAATAAGAATGCCGTGTCTACTCAGAGCTCTGGGTGGGCGTGACATCACCTTTGAGACGGAGCTCCACATCTGTTCAGCGTGTCGGTCAGAGGCTGCATGTAAACATGGCACATCAAGAAGGGAATCAAAGCCAGGCCAACTAGGCAATTGTGGCTCCTGGCCCAGTGAAACCCTCCGGAGAACTTAGCAAAAGTAAATGAAAAATACACTGTTAGCAACTGTTCTACATCCGTGTGTGTGTGTGTGTGTGTGTGTGTGTGTGTGTATGAGAGAGGGGGGGTTGTTAATGGAGATCCATACAAAAACACATACCTTCCCCCCCCCCCTCATTGCCATCACGTCCATTCTGACTCAGAGTGACCCTAGAGGGGAGGGTAGAACTGCTCTCTGAAATTTCTGAGACTCTTAAGTCTTTACGGGAGCAGAAAACCTAGTCTGGTGGTTTCAAACTCCTGACCTTTTGGTTAGCAGCCCAAAGCTGTGCTTTGATGTCTGTCTCTCCTTTTAGAATAATCTCATTGATTATCTCGTCAGACACTTCTTCTGTTCATACAATTCATTCTCCTTCATTCATCTTCTCTCTTCACCTTCTCTTCTTGCCCGCCCCCCTCGGGATTTAATCACACGTGCCTTGAACCATCTGAATATGTCTCATAGCTTTTGAAGAGCTGTTATATATTTTTTCAGTCTTTTCTCTTTATTTCTTATTTTCATTTCCTGTTTCAATTTAGGTCATTTCTACTCACCTGTCTTCAAAGTCACCGATTCTTTCTTGGCTTTTTCAAGTGGACTGATGAGTCCATCAAAGGACATGTCCATCCTTGTCACTGTATTTCTATTTCAAGCATTTCCACTTGACTCTCTTTATCATTTCTGCTGACAGTCTCCATCTCTGTGTGCACGCCATCTCGCCTTTCCACTAGAGCTTTTAACGTATCAATCATAATTATTTTAAACTCCTAACAACTGTGCCCGTCTCTGAAACGAAGTCTGTTGATGGCTTTGCTTATCGTGAGTAGGTTATCATTCATGCATGTGTGTGTGTGTGTGTGTGTGTGTGTGTGATAAGTATACATAGATGGCTACAGCTACTGATATAATCGATAAGACCACGTGTAACCTAGCAAAGACTAAGGGAGAGCGTACTGATGCCAGGCCAGGGGCTCTGGGGCTGAGTCCATCCACTCAACAGTTGGACTAGATTTGGCTTTTGTTGTGGCTGCAGTTCTCCTAAGAGCACCACCAGCGTTGCCTTCCTCTAGCCTTGGCATTTTTGACATTTTAGGTGGAATAAGTGTTTGTTATGAGGGACATTCTGAGTACTGTCGGGTATTTAGAAGTATCCTGGACTCGACTTACTAGTTTTCAGTAGCATCCCTCCTCCCCACCAGTTGTGACAACCAGAAATACCCCCATGCCCTGCCAACTGTTCCCTGTGGGGCACGATTTCTCCTGGCTGAGAGCCACTGCTCCAGGGGTGTGGTATGGATGCTTAAGGTTGGGGGGTGGGCTGCTGGGGAGCTCCTTTCAAAGGTCCCTCAGCTTTCGGCCTTCCTTGTTTACCTGTGTCTCCAGGTGTCTCTCCAACTCTGACCCGGTCACCAGAAGCACTCATTGTGCTTGCTAGCCTGGCACAGGGTGCTCTGGTCCATCCTGGATCGGAAAAGGGCCCTGTGCCTGGATCGCAAAGATGAGGTTTTCTCAGCGGTCCTGTTCCTTCTCTCCTTGACATCTTCAACAGATCTCCTAGGGGGAAGGACTTTAATGCCTCGCCGCCAGCTGTGATTTGGTTTGGGCCCAGAAAGTTCTCTGCCCCTCTTCCAGTTACCCTTCCACCAACCCCAGGGACTCTTCTCTTGTTCCTGGAAGTCAGTTCTCTTGTGGTTATAAATGAAATGGATAAACAAAAACATTGTTAAGCTAAGAAGAGAAAAGGACTGTCTTAATCGGAAAAGGATGTTGATCAGAAACCTATTGTGACATTCCTACTGACTGGTTAAATATTAGAAGCACCCCCTCCCTGTGTTAGTCCGGGTAGACTAGAGAAGCAAATCCAGGAAGACTCATGTGTATGAGAAAGAGCTTTGTATACGAGAGCAATTGAGAGAGCAATATTCATTGAGAAAAACACCCCAGCCCAGTCCAGATCAAGTTCATAAGTTCGGTATTAGCCCATAAGTTTGATACCAATCTATAAAGTACCCTTCAGACTCACCAAACACATGCAATGATGCCGAATGCAGGACGATCACAGGCCAGTGGGTGGGAAGTCTTGTGAATCCAGTGGCAGTGTAAGCATCTCAGCATTGGCGGGGGTCTCCACGTGGATCCTCCAGCTCCCACGGCTCTGGCTGCATCAGGGTAGCTCCATGTAGCTTCTGATCAGGAATGTCTCCCAGGGAGTGAGCCTGTGTCCCACTGCCAGCGAGCTATTTATCTCCTTATGAGGACATCAAACTGTGACCCGATTGACAGGCTAAACTCCACCCCTTCACTCATAAATCTCGAATCGACAACAGATATGTCACTAGCACACTCCCCAAATGGAAATGAGTAAATTATGCTGTCTACGAGGGGGCTTCACAAAGTTATTGGAAAAACAAGCATCCCCTTCACCCCACTTTTGCTCAGCATTGTACTGGCAAACCCCAGCCAGGCCAGTAAGAGAAAGGATGTCTCGGAAAGATCATTGAGAGTTAAAATGAGAGACACTGAACTGTTACTTGCACATGATGTATATTTTAAAAGTCCAAGAAAGTCTATAAACAAATGGAAATAATAGGAGCTTGATAATGCTGCTGAAGACGAGAAAATACTACTGAAAAATTAAGAGCATATACCTTTTTAAAGCCATGAAAGATGATCTAAGAACATGACTAGGTTTACCATATTCTTATCAGAAAGGAGTTGTCCTACATTCTTTGTAAATGTCTTCTTATTTCAATCAAAATGTTTTGAAATAAATCATTTCCCCCCAGAACTTGACTAGTTGACCCTGAGATTGATATTTAATGGTAAAAAGTCAAGATTTCTCAAGATGAACTTGAAGAACAACAGCCATCTGGAGGAAGAGGGGGACTTACCTCACACCTTGCACACGTTTTCTATGAGCTGTTATATAATGAAACTAAGACGTAAGATCTCAGAACTTCACATGGCTGATGCTAGAAATTTTAAACTAATTCTATGGGGAAAGGGCTTGGATAAAATTAGATTATTCTCTCTTACCATACTCAAAAGTCAAATTTGGGATTTATGGAATGCAAGCATTTCAGCTATGTGGAGAAATGGGCAATGGCGCCAGTAGCATCATGGGTAAGCACTTGGCTGACAAAGGAAGGTGGGCTGTTGGAGCCCCCAGGCCTTCCAGGCATGGAAATATCTGGCAATTTGGTCTTGTGACGATGTTGGCCTAGAAACCCTATGGGACAGTGCTATTCTGATTTGGAATTGATTCAAGAATATAACACATGGGGGCAAAAATAGAGACGTGTATGTTCCAAAATAACAGGGAGAGGTAGCTTAAGACATAAAAAGTACAGATTCTATATCTTTAATGTTGCATTTTACTAAATCAAAATAGTGAATTTCTGCACAATTAGATATCATCCTTAAAATATAAATCACAAAGAGAAGATATTTCCAATATCTTCTAAGGGGTTAGCATGGGTTTACCCAAGATCCATGGCCAATGAGTCAATTCCAACTCTCTATGGGGTTTCCAAGATGAAATATTTATGGGAGAAAACAGCTTCGACTTTCTCCCAAAGAGCAGCTGGTAGGCTTGAACCCCTGACCTTGTAGTTAACAGTTCAACACGTATCTCACAGCAGCACCAGAGCTCCTTAGCACGAGTTTAGAAGGATTTAAAGAACTTCTGCGGATCAATGAGTTAAACCATAATCCAATGGATCATAGGCAAACGATAGTCAAGAAAAGGAACCCCATGTGCTACTATGCTCAGCTTCACTATTGCTTACATTCACGTTAACTGGAATGAAAAACTTTCATTTTTATCATCTTGGCCCAAACCATTAAAGATCCAACTGAGGTTATGGAGAAG